TCTACCAGGATTAGACATTGTCTTCTGAAATCTTACTCAGATTTCAGAAAACACCTCGCATGAACTGAGTCCCGTTGAGGAAACCATATAATTTATGGTTTCACGAGGTAATCTAAAAACAAAAACAAAACACTTTATGTAATTAGGACCGTCGGATGGATAGTATTCGGATTACCTCGATGATTTCACTATCATGCTTATGCATTGAGGGGTAATCATTCGCATAAAAATAAGTTGGATAAAGTGAAAAGCAAACGTCTGAAAAAGTTGTCAAGCGAAGCAGCGGAAGATGAAACATTTTCTGCATTGCGTAACTTGGTATTGGAGATGGATACTCCATCATTCGTGGAACAGAAAGAGTAATTATTCTCTAGGAGGACAAAGCGACCAACAAAGTTGTCACTCGCTCCTCCAAGTAGTTGTATATGGTATCGAAACGTGGTCGAACCGAGAGTTCAAACATCGACCAGGAACCAGATCACTTGTTGATCTGCATGGTACGAGTGGTATTTACTCGTAGAAGTTATTTATGACAAGCTTCAATTGTCATGATCGTAGGGCCAGTCTTAATTTATGTCTTCAATTAAAAATCATTGAGTGACACTTTGGCAGACCAGCTCATCAAGTCAACGATTTGGATTGTGTGATTTTGTTTTAAGGTATGGGGATTTTTGTTGTTTGATTGCTAGGGACTAAGGATCGTTTTCACGCTTGGTTGAGACTGTCTTAGTCGACCGGCGTACGCTTCGGACTTGGGAGATCAACGCCCCAGGGAACAAACGACGCTCGGGTTCATTCGTCGTTTAGTCAAACGATTCCTATACTGCAGCGAGATGAGCAAACACCCTCGACTGATCTACCTCTGCGATTGCATTTAAAAGTCTTCGCATGTGGATCAATAGCTCGGTAGGGATACGCCCCTAAGGGTGGTGACAGCCCCTTAGGGATGCAAGCTTATGCCCCGCGGGAACCTGTCCTGTCGTAGGGGACCGTGGGAAGTATAGTTGGCGCACCCGGCTAAAGCGGCGAAGGAGCGAAGCAACCACGTCCGTCTCGATGGCTCGCGGAAAGTTATGCGTCGTTTCCCGAGTTGTCTCTAAAAGTAATGTTTTAGAAAAACTCCTGCGTCGGGAGGGCCCTCGTTTTTGCGGGAGGGCCGATGCGCTCGACAACGCCACCAACATGCCTCTTGAGGGGAAAGCTTGGGCTTCGTGAGGAAAGCCTGGACAACTGAGTTGTCCGTGCGTACCGTGAAGGGCGCCCCGTGCAGATACTGACGCCAATGCCGGGTAGCAAAGACTCATACGAGAACCTCACGTTCATCAACACTGTGGTTTATCTCGTCAAGCAGTAGCTGACGGGAGTAGAAAGCGATCGGGTAGTCCCCAACATGAGCCTCAACAGTCCCATCCTCCACGATGGTCGGGTAGTAAGTGACGGGGGGATTGTCAGTGGAGGGAAGTGGTGAGAGGATAGGCATCAGTGGAGAAGCAGTATCAACAAGAGGAGGGGGGAAGGAGGAACATGGGGATAAGGTGAATCAGGAGGAGAGGGAAACACCTGAGAAAGTACAACTCCTACTGCAAAATCTAATGCATTTGTGGTGACGATGAAGGGATTATCAAAATCGGGGAGGCGAAAAACCGGTGCACAGGTCACCGCCTTCTTGAGGGCGCGAAAGGCGTCCTCGCAGAGGGGTGTCTAAAACCACGACGGGTTCTTCTGAAGGAGGGTGAAGGTAAGGACGTAGGAATACCTAGCGTATCCGTGGATGAAATTACTATAGTAACTAGTAAGGCCCAGGAACCTGCAAAGCTGCTTGACGGATGTGGGGACGGTTCACTCCGCAATAGCAGTGATCTTCGTGTCGTCCATTTGGAGATTGTGGTCAGACACATGGTGGAAGTCCACTTTGGGCTGGGCAAAGCGACACTTACTAAGCTTGGCATATAAACCATGCTTGCGTAACTGTTGTAGGACATCGCAGAGGTGTCTGAGATGGTCTTCTAAGGTACGACTGTACACCAAGATATTGTCCAAGTATACGATAACGTATTTTTCAAGGATGTCCCTGAAGATATCGTTCATCGCCGTCTAGAAAGTGGCGGGTGTATTGGTGAGGTCGAATGGCATCATCGTAAACTCGTAGTGGTCGAAGAGCGACCGAAAGGCGCTCTTCGGCTTGTCCTCTATTGCCACGCGGATCTGGTGGTAACCGCTACATTGATCGTCGTGAAAAAGCGGTTGCCTGCTTGACGGTTAAACAACTCATCCGCACAAGGCATGAAATAGTTGTTCTTAATCGTATAACGGTTAAGGCCGCGGTGGTCAATGCAGAGGCGAAAAGTTCTGTCCGTTTGCGAGCAAAGAGGACAGGTGTAACCCAAAGGAGGTCCTCAAGCTGACGCTTGAGTTCCGTCGTGAGCTCCGGATACACATAAACAAAAACCAATACTAGCTACGTATCCTGCATAAATACAAGGAGGATGTATAGCCAATACGGGGTCTTGTAGTACAGGGTTGAATTCTTTTTCCGAATCAGTGCTTGCCTCTGGAAACGAGAATTGGTAAGGTGTCTGATGATGGACGTGATAGTCAGGCACGGGCTGGATAGAATGCTTAACACCATGCATCAAAGGAATCCCGTTGTACGAGAAATACAGAGGGAAAACGTTGCGGTATTCTCGAATCAAATCGTGAACGATAGACTCTAAGTCGGTCATGAACCGCTTGAGTTCCTCAACGTCTGCGTCGACAAGAGACGTATGGGTGGACTCGACAGTGAATGGCGGAGGAACCTAAGATGTCGATGGGGTATCCGCAGGCTGAGGGGTGGATGTAGAGACCGGAGCCGCGAAGAAGGAGGAAGGGTCAGGGGGATCGAGCTCCAAAGAGATGAGCTGAACCTTTGGACATAGTGGATCATAGCGAAGAAGATCCATGACGTTCACTGAGTAGAACGTGATGTCCTCCTGCTGTATGAAGTGGGCGAACTGATAAGGAGAAGTGAAGGCGATGTCTGGGTGGGAACCAGAGGAACAAGGGTCTTGGGGAGGTAGGTCGGGAAGGGTGTGGCCCCTGGTTCCAATGAAGGTGACTCAATGGGTTTGACCACACTTCGTTTTGAGAACGAGTGTGTCGGTGGCCCATTTGGCCTATGTGCCACGGAACTGGTGAGACGAGGGAGTGCCAAGGATAAAGTCGTACCCAGTCTCCTGCACGTCGAAGTATGCGGAGGAATGGTAGCGCCAAGGCGCCTGGGCACTATCCGATGGCTGGAGGGTTAGGGAAAAGTGGAGGTTGGGGACCGTTTGATCGAAGAATCGCTACGTCTTGTTATCTCCGAGAGTAACGGAGATAGGAGAGCGAGACCCGGAGGTAGCGTGGTAAGATTCCTCAACCACACGAGGGTGAACGAAGTCTCCCTGTCAGTCGGAGTCCCATAAAGCGCGGTACACCCTCATAGATGTCCCCAACTGGATAGGAATGATGGGGAGGGTGCGGTCAGGGTCAGAGAGCAGAGTGAGAAGGCGACGCAGGACGTTTAAGTGCCTTGTGAGTCGCTCCTCACGAGCCTGAAGAATGCTAAAATCCGGGAGAGATGACACAACGTCATCGCCAGTTGCCAGCTGAGCACTACAACGAGTCTTGTGAATGGCGCGACGCGTCAGAAGTCTCGGAGGGGAAGGACTAGGTGTGGCGGTCTGCTGTGGGGTAGAGGGTACCTCGATAGACGGCGGGGTAGAGGAACTGCGTCTGTCGTGTCCTGAGGATCCTCTGGTGGGGTAGCCAAATGGGCAAACCGCGACTCGGTGGTCAGAAGCCGGAGGACAGACTTAAGAGGAAAGAGGAGGGTAAAAAATGGAGAATAACCACCAAGGCTATGGACCGATACCAGACCCACAGAAGAAAGGGCTCGCTGTGTCACACTAAGAGACAAGGGACAAGGGGATTGGCGACCGACTCCCTGCTGGATGCGGCCAACAGATGAGAAGTGAAGCCAGATTTGCCCGGTGTCGGTGAATACGAATCATGACCCGATGTGYTTGATCGAATCGATACAGGTCCTGGATCTGACCCGCTTGCCAGCCTATGACATTGTCATTTACTAATCTTCATTTCCTTTCGTATTTATTTATTTATTTATATACTGATTTGTTTGATTCCTAGTTCCACACGACAACGCGTGGTCTTAGGAACCACAGTATAGTAACGTTTTTTGAACTACGTCTGCAAACCCGGACTAAGTACTGAGTTGTACTCGTTGTGGCGGGAACTTCGAGGTACAGGCTACCGGGGTATGTGTTTCTGAGCAGCTGCAGTTAGTATCCAGGTAACACCGAGGTACTTGCTACGTCTTTTGAGTAGATACGTTGTACTTACACCTGAAACCGGGACTGAAGTACTCCCCACTCAGGCGGGAACTTCGGATACGGGTTACCGGGTGCTGTTGCAGATAGTACCCAGGCGGTAACGTTGAGGTACGATCTACGGTTTTTTTTAGTAGTTGCGTAAGTACTTTTTGGAGAAGAGCTGCAGCTCTCGACACAGACTGAGTAGTACAGGAGAAGGTGTGTAGCGTGAATCCCTTCACGCTCTTATACAATGTGGTTATGCTACGAGATGTAAACCTCTGAACTACATTGTGAATTTTTACTCATTTGTGATTTAGACGAACGACCCTGCGGTCGTGCTTGGGAGACGAACGACCCTGCGGTCGTGCTTGGGAGACGCTCGTCTAGCGCCGTGTATCCCATTGGATATGGTGCACGTGCTTCGTTTTTCTTGCATCTGTACTTGACTCTTGATATCTGTTTCCAGTGTGTACGTACCGCTATTTCCGTCCTATCAACGCACCGGGTGTTAAGGACTTCACATTGTTGAGGTTCCTGAATCTTGATAAATGTTTTCAGCATGTACGTACCGTTATCTCCGTCCTTGCAACGCACTTGGTGTTGGGGACGTCGCATAGTCGAGGATCGGGACACGTTGACGTCCGGTCGTGGCACATCCGAGGCATGATTTGCATTCACCTATCGGGACGGGCAGACTCGAAGCGAAGACTGGAGGTGATTAAGGCTACACCAACATTCGGACAAACACAATCCAGAGTACTCCTGTATGTACGCAAGAGGAGCGGGTCGGGGTCGAGGCAGGGGACGAGGAAGGTGGTCGGGTTGCAATAGGTACTGGATGGAGTACCAAAATACTCCGCCAGCTACCAATGCGATCGCGCAGCCTAGCCCGCCACCTGCGCATCCAGGCGTTGTTCAACCAGCGGCGTACCCCCCGTATCCATACGGATGCGTTACTCCCCCGGTCCAACTACCGCCTCCTCCGACGTGGCAACAAGGGGCGATGAGCTACCCTCCGCCTGCGCGAGAGAAACAGGGCCCAACCGCAAATGCTTTTCCGGGGCCAGGTAATAGGGCCTGGTTCACTCGCGAGCACTTGGAACTCATCGAGCGATGGAAGAATAGAGACCTGCTTGAAGAGTCAAGAAGAAAGAACGAAGAATCTGGAGAAAGCAGCAAGAGCGAGAACACGAGGAAGACTAAAGGGAAAGCGGCAGCGAAGTCCGAAGATGGGGAACAAGGGCTGAAGAACTGGATGGCTGCGAATTTCGGCGCTTCACTCAAGGAGATTGCGAATAAGTTGGACGCAGTTGACAAGAAGACCAAGGCAGCCGATCTCGAACGCGAGAAGCTGATGAAGAAGGTCGCCGAATTAGAAACAGGACACAACAAGGATGGCGGGAGCAACAAGAAACGGAAACGAGTTGTTGGTGCGAACTCACCCGTACCAGAGAGACAGAAGTCGAGGTCGCGGTCACGCAGCGACAACATTCAAATCCGACAACCAAGTATTTTGGTTTCGTCTGATGAAGAAGGCAAGAGCAGTGCCCCGCAGGGAGGGGAGATCGAAGACGAACCGAATAACCGCACCGACGAGCCCGTGAAGCTGGACGACGTCATGAAGATGTTGGCTGTAATAGCCAACAGGGTTAACCTGGAGGACGCCCCCGGAGCTGGAAAGAAGGGTGATGTGTCAGATGCGACCAAGGCCAGCACCGTGCATAACGATGGGAATACGGACGATAAGAGCGAGGAGTCGGATGAAGACGCGGACAAACTTCTAGTCAACAAGGGATATGGTGCCGGGGGCAGGAACGAGACTGGAATTATGGAGTACATGCGTCAGAGGCTCGAGCACTACATGGACATGAATGGGAAGAAGGTGAAGAGTCTCTATACCAAGAACGGGATCAAGTTTTTCAAGTGGGAACGGAAGGATAAAGGAGCATGGGAGTTGGCCAAACAGGATACAGATGAATTCACCAAGCTTATCAACGGCAAGGATGGATGTGATGCCGACACCGAATCAAGTTCGGATAAGGAAGGCGGTGGTGGTACGGACGGAGAAGGTTCTGATGGAGTGCAAGTGAACTAGATCCTGTCTAAACGTAGTCTGACAATGACACTTCGAAGGATTTGCGCTGCGATTCCTCGTTTCGATGGTTCCTCAAGGATAGAACTCGAATGTGCCTTCCGAATAGGCACTCTTCTTTCATGCTTGCTTGGCCACATTAGATGGGGATGCACTTATACTAAATATTGGGCTGGGATAAACTGGGACTGCCTGATAGACCCGACTAAAGCCCGATCGTGTGTGTACCTCCTTGTCTCACCGTTCTGTAGACAGGTATATGTCGGACAGACCGGTAGAACTTTGGCAGATAGGTGGAGCGAACATGCTCACACTGCCGTACGTGACCCAATATTCAAAGTGCATAAAGTGCATAAATGGTTGAACAAGCAAGGAATAGAGTCCTACACTGCTATTCCGGTGTGGACAGGGGGGAAGGGTAACCTGCTGCGAATGGAAAATAAGGTCATTGAGAGTGAGAATCCTGGTCTTAATAGTCGAAAAAAGAAAGTGCGAAGCAGACCAAGGAAAAATAGGAAAGCAATACGCAAGAGTTCTAGGACACCTGAAGTATGGACTCCTATTCTTTTTTCGTCCGATCTTATGAAGAATGAACCGACTGGAAATCTGTTGGTGTACGGTGATTCTAAATTTTCTGATTCCACGGGATGTTATACCCTTAGAGATATGAAACGCATGTTTGAGCAGGGTGGCCAATGGGACCTGTATTGCCTCGTAAAGACTGAATCAGAATCCGATCGAAGGAAATCTGAAATCATTACACTATTGAGAGCACCATGGAAACACAAAAGCACACTTCGGGGTAAAGATACTGTCGGACTACTCAGAATGTTGAAAGGATTGAAAAGTGTGAACGGGAAGAGAGGAAGGCAAAGCATTCGCAGTTTGATTGCTTCGGAGTTAAAGAGAAGACTTGGATTCAACCCAAGAAAGAGAATAGTTGTTAAAATTCCTTTCTGTCCGAACATTGACAAACGATGTGTAAGAAGAGAAGTCTGTGAATGGATCGGAGAAAGAATTAAACCACCGGAACTCGCTGACCTCATGCAAAAGAAGTTGTGTGTTGTCTCGACAAAAGCCAAGACTGTCGCAGACCTTCTGCATAACCATAAGGTTGTCACAGCCGAGGAAATCCACGACTGCGAGTGCCACAGGTTTGAACTGCCCAAAATAGATGGGCATGTCCCGGAAGTTGATTCTTTCCTGTTCAATTCACGGAACGTACCATACCTAGGTCGTATTCAGACTCTGAGCATCATGAACAAAGCCTGCAAGTTGGTCGTGAGGGAGCTCCACAAGGCTGGCGTAACTGGTGAATGTAGGATCTCACCACGAAAGCTCAGTCGAGTGGGACCCCCAATACCAGACAAGGCCATAACATGTGAATATGTCCTAGGAGTGAAAGAGGCCTTCCAAGGATTGACTCTTTCTCCCTTGGATAGAAACCCGGGCGCAACTCTCATCGAATGCCCAATGATGTACTGTGACAGTATGAGAAAAACTTTTAATGACAATCCAGACTTTGTGAAGATCTATGGATCCGAGGGAGATGTATGCCGAGAGATGAGACTGCAGTTCAAGAAACTACAATTAGACAAAATTGGATGGTGGGATAGTAAAGGAAGACTCCAGAACGCATTTATCATGAGTAAAGAAAAGGATCTCGATAAAAAATGACCAATTTGTCCCTCCTTTGCTAACCCAGCGAGATTTGCAAGCAAGAATCTGGTCAAAGCGCTAAACCTGATGATTAGAATAATGAAGGGGGAACACTTCAATCTAGTATCAGGCAGTGACTTGACGAGGTTCCTTTCTACTGTCGACGAGCATGTCAAAAAGGACGATCTGGGGGTGATTGCTCGGACTTACGATATCAAGGAAATGTTTTCAAGAATTCCACACAGTGAACTTTCTCAAAATTCAAAGAAAAAGGGAAATATTGGGTGAGAGTGAAACACACGGGAAGAAAGCAACACTTGGGAAAGCGGCCGGTGAGAAAGGATGGAAATCATTAAGGCTGAGTGACCTCAAGAAACTGACCGGTTTTTTGCTGGATCACGTTTTCTTTAAGTCTGCTGGCGCTATTCTGAGACAGGATAAAGGGAGGACAGGCCAGCCCCCCACTAGCTGCGCTGGTTTGCATGTACGCCGAGGAGAAATTCCTAAGAACACTCGGGAAAGATAAGAAATGCCTCCTCGGCAAAAGGTACGTGGATGACCTACTTCTATTAGGTTTATATGAGAGGAACGATCCTTCAAGTTGAAGAAAGACAGAACAAACAATGGATATGATTACTACGTGCTATCATGGTGATCTGAGACTAGAACGCACTGATTCCGGCCTGGGGATTGTCGATTTCCTTGAAAGAAGAATTTTCATACTTGAAGAGCCAAAATAAATTATCTCAATGCACAAATTCAAGAATGCTGAGAGTATGTGGGAACAACCAGACAAGCCGAAATTCATGATTACCAGAAATTTTGATTCCTTTGGACCCAGAGAGCAAAAGATTGCAAATATTATGGGTACGATGTATCGAATTCTAAGCAACACGAGCTCGGATGCACTATGACTCTCCACAGAGAACTGAAAGGGGCAAGTTTTCCTAGTAGCATATTTTTTTCGGCTTTGGGTAAAGTAGCCACGAGGGTGGGTGGGAGGGTCCTGTTGGAAATGGTTAGCAAACTGAGGACGTGCTATAAGTACTGGGGGGGACGGACTTAAGAGGAAAGAGGAGGGTAAAAAATGGAGAATGACCACCAAGGCTATGGACCGATACCAGACCCACAGAAGAAAGGGCGCGCTATGGCACACTAAGAGACAAGAGACAAGGGGATTGGCGACCGACTCCCTGCTGGATGCAGCCGACAGATGAGAAGTGAAGCCAGATTTGCCCGGTGTCRGTGAATACGAATCRTGACCCGATGTGTTTGATCGAATCGATACAGGTCCTGGATCTGACCCGCTTGCCAGCCTATGACATTGTCATTTACTAATCTTCATTTCCTTTCGTATTTATTTATTTNTCGATACAGGTCCTGGATCTGACCCGCTTGCCAGCCTATGACATTGTCATTTACTAATCTTCATTTCCTTTCGTATTTATTTATTTATTTATATATTTATTTGTTTGATTCCTAGCTCCACGCGACACCGCGTGGTCCTAGGAACCACAGTATAGTAACATTTTTTGAACTACGTCTGCAAGCCCGGACTGGGTACTGAGTTGTACTAGTTGTGGCGGGAACTTCGAGGTACAGGCTACCGGGGTATATGTTTCTGAGCAGATGCAGTTAGTATCCAGGTAACGTCGAGGTACTTGCTACGTCTTTTGAGTAGATATGTTGTACTTACACCTGAAACCGGGATTGAAGTACTCCCCGCTCAGGCGGGAACTTCGGGTACGGGTTACCGGGTGCTGTTGCAGATAGTACCCAGGCGATAACGCTAATGGTACGATCTACGGTTTTTTTGAGTAGTTGCGTAAGTACTTATTGGAGAAGAGTTGCAGCTCTCGACACAGACTGAGTAGTAGAGGAGAAGGTCTGTAGCGTGAATCCCTTCACGCTCTTATACGATGTGGTTATGCTACGAGATGTAAACCTTTGAACTACATTGTGAATTTTTACTCTTTACTCGTGGCCAATCACAAATGCTAGCCACCTTGGCATTTTCAGGCCTTATCCCTTCCGCAGATATCTCATGACCCAAGTACAAGATTTAAGTGCAACCAAACTCGCATTTCTCTAAGTTAATCTTATACTTGTGTTGTCCAAGGAGTGAAACTATGGTTTCTACATGTTGGGCATGCTCCTCGACTGTTCTACTGAAAATAAGTATGCCGTCGACGTACACGATGATGAACTTATCTAAGTAGTCATTACATATCTTATTCATGGCGTGCTGGAATGTACCCGATGCATTGCAAAGGCCGAAGGGCATCACCACAAACTCGTACAGATCATACCTGCTTTGGAAAGCGGTTTTGTTTTGGTCCTTTCGTCTAATGACAATTTAATGGTAGTCGAATTTTAAGTCTATCTTCGTATAGTAGTTACACCCCTGCACCCTATCCAGAAGGTCGTCGATGTGCTGTAGAGGCTCTGTGTTCTTAACAATGATGACATTGAGACCTCTATAATCAATTCACATCATTAGTGCCCCCCCCTTCTTTTGGACAAATAGGACTGGTGAGCCAAAGGGAGAGGTGCTAGGCAGTATCCAACCCTTTTCTGTGAGCTCTTTCAGTTGTCGCCGAAGTTCGTCTAACTCGGTCGGTGCCATCCTATAGATTTTTCCTTTGGGTATCTTGCTCTCTGGAACTATCTCTATGGCATGGACAACCTCCCTTTCTACGACTCCTGAAGGCTCATCGAACAAATCAGGGTACCTTGCGACGACATTTTCTATCTCTGGGGGTGTTTGAACGACCTCCCCTTTTTCAAAGACAAAAACTAAGTGCATACCCTCCTCTTGATTTTGTTTATAGCAATTATAGAATGTTGATGCACACATACAACCAGAAGTGTCTATCAGATTGTTAGCCTTATACTTTGCAAGTCAGACTATCCTCCCTTCCGGTAGTGCATGCCTAAGCACCTTTCGGTCCCAGTCAAATTGGGGCTTTGCAACCTCGAGGTAGTACATATCTAACAACACATCGAATGGCAAGTCGTCGCTAACTACGAACAAAATCTTATGATAAAGTTCCCCACCTCCATAATAGAAGGTGCAGACTACGTCCTTGATATAGTCATCAACAACCATGCGCTCTTTGTTGGCTAGGGCAAATGCAGATCTACCCAAGCGCTACACCTGGTCCCCTACGCGCAATCTCTCGACGCAATCGTGACTCAAAAAGTTCCGCGTGGAGCCAATGTCTACGAAGGCACCACACTTGCGGATACCTACACCGACTTCCACAACGAAGTGCTCCCCTCTTGGACCTCTACTTAGTGCCACCCAAGACTCACGAGGGTCTCTCGCCGACCACTCACTTTGTAAGTCCTCTAAGTTCTCAGACACATCCAATGAACAGAGTATCGTTGGGTCAAGATGCGTCTGCGGGGTGACTCAAGAGTCAATAGCTTCAGCCAACTCCTGAAGTGCGGAGGGTACATCGCCCACTTCATCAAGAATAGAAGCAGCCACAACTTCTACTGGCCCGATATGTTTCCCGAATTGGAGCTCGTAGAAGCCGTACTATGGGAAGAAGAGTTCCCAAAACAACCTTTGGGAGGTATCTTCTGCGATACCTTCTCGTTCTTGCATCTCAACTGCTGATGGCCATACTCACCACAGTTAACGCAAGCTCCTCGCAAATAACGGTCTTGCCACACATCTTGATCCAGACCCGCCATCACCCAAGCTGGTGTCTTGTTTGAGTTTTGGGTCTGCCCCTGACTCTTCAATTGACCGCCCTTGTCGTGGCTGCCTGCCTTAACCTGTACTAGCAAAGCGGGGTTGCTACCTTCAACACTATCCTCATCTTCAAACTTTGTACCGTCCACTAAGTCGGAATAATCATCGATCTCCGTTTGATTCCCTTCGGAATCAACGATCATCAATCCACTACCTTTTTTTTTCCACTCCTATGGACTCTTCTTCTTTCTTCCATCCGTAGAGGGTTGTTGGGCTCCTCCTTGCCTAGCCTCTAAGTCTAGGGCCTTCTTGCTAAAGGAGTCCAGAGTATGAGATTCAATGTTGGCCTCGCTGACGAGCAAGTTCATGACTTTTGTGGGAAGACATCTCAAGAACATGGTCATTAAGACCTGTGGATCATAGCGCACGTTGGGGACAACAATGAGATGCTCCACGGCAGAGGTAAACTCACACGCGGACTTGTACTTCTTAGTATTAAGCCGGGTCAACGAGTTAGTGGCTTGTTGGGCCTGCTGAGGGTTGTTCCATCGCGTTTCTACCAACTCCATAAAGCTCTCTAAACTATGGGTCTTAGCCCAATCGTTCATACGCCTGCCGAACCCTTTCGAGGCTAATCATCGATCTATCCATCGTGCTGCCGAACCCTCAAGATACGAGGCGGCAGTGATCACCTCTTCCTCTAACAGCGTCCTCTTTGCCCTTACCCACACTGGTACCGTTCTCAACCAAGTGTCGAGAGCCTCATCCTTCTTATCACCTCAGAAGGTTGAGGGTGGTTTCAAAGGAGTCTTGGGGTACCAAGGCTGCTGTTGTCCCACTGGTGGGACCAACTGTTGTGTAGCACCACCCGCTGAATTAGAAGATGAAGAAGCAACAGTCTGTGACGCTGCTGCTGATGTACCGCTTGGTGAACTGCTAAACTGAGACATAGTGGGACTTGTCATAACCGGCGAGGAAACCGGTGATGGAAAAACTGGAGGCCGGAAACTGGGCCCGCCTGTTGGAGATGGAAAAATCCTTCCCACCCCTGCACGGCACTCGGAATCAGGTCTAGGGTATTTTGGATAGCTTCCAGTTTGTTGTCCATGTAAGCCTGCATGGACAAGAGTCCTGCATTGAGGATCCTTGTATTATCATCAACAACGGTGTCATCTAACCCTGCTACAACATCTTTGACTGCCCTCCTATTCTCTAGTCTGACTTTCCTAGTTCTAATCTTCGTTTCTCTTTCAATAGCTTCTCTAAGTTCCTTCTCTAACCATAAGCGGATCAACTCCACTCGCTGGAGTTGAATGGTCTCTCTAGTGCGTGGAGGTGGCGAGCTGTACTGCGAGCCCGCCATCTGACTAGAAGAACTACTTGATCCCACCCCCCTGGATGTGGACTGTGAACTGGTCGGCATGCCTACGCTCTGCTAACTGGAGGAAGCAACGGAAGTAGCCATAGCTGCTGCAGTGGCTGCTGCCGCTGCAAGCAATTGCTCCGCTGCTGATGCCGCTTCTCTAGCCCTCTGCAAACGTTGAACTACTACTTCCCGTCATATAGCCTTTTCTCCCTCGGGTGGTAAAGCTTGGTGCACGATTGGAATCCTAAGGGACTCTTGATGTGTCACCCTCCTTCCTACAAAGCTATCCTCACCACTGCCTGGTCCAATCATCAGCTAGGCAGACACTGTTTGGACTAATGCCCTCACTGGGGCCTACTACATGTGTCTGATCGGGTAAAAATAAAAATAAAAAAATTGACAAGTCACCTCGGCTACTGTTCAAGCGGTATCAGCAACATCTACACAAACTGTACACATGATCTAATCCTACTCTGATTAGTTTCACTCACAGCAGCTTTTGTGAGAACCAGCTATGGCAGAACGCTACAGAACTGATCTAGGCTGTCTGTTAGGTGATAGCAGTCTGTCCACCAACTAATCAAAATAAAAATAAATCATGTGAGAAGATGTATGCACAATGGGTATGGTTGTGATTAACAGTTGAGCACCAATTGGTACCTTCCTTCGCCTGTATCCAACGTGCCTATCCGCAGCATCAAGCAGCGGTGTCTAAGGTGAGCATTAACAGCCCACCCCTGTGCCCAGGAATTCGCTGCCCTCTCTTTATCCTCGCGTGCAACGAGCCTTACGTCTAACTGATCTGGCTGATCAAGAGGCGTTTTAAGGACAGCCCCCAAGGTCCTCATGAATTGTTTAACGTCGCAGACAGGACGGCGATCACAGCCAATGTACAGATCAGAACCCCGCCATAAATATTTATAGATGGTCTGGTTTATGTCTGCATAGGACTGGTCCCTCTATTAGCGCAGCAAAGAGCCTTAAAGGACAAAGCAACATGGGTTGGCATGGTGACCGTGACCCGTGCTTCGACCAGGGCATTTCAGAGGCACCACCCTCTCCTGCCAGATGCACCACCGGGAAGAATGTCGTCTCTCAAGGTAGAGCGCTCACGACTCCTTTCTCAAAGAGGACACTCAAGGTTGGACTTACTTCCTCATGGTAAGAAGAGATTGAGAGGGAAGATAAGGTAAGGGAACAGCGTACCCGCAGATAGCTGCCCCCAACCACAGATTTCTCACCAGTTGAGCCAACGAGCATTTTGATGACCGGTCGTACTTCAGTACCACCCACATCGCAATGCAGTGCCACCTCAGCCAAAATTCCACATCAGCATGCTCTCATCAACATACATCCGCTGTCGCCACAGCCTTCCAGCCCTCTACCTGGGTGTCGCTCACTCAAGTCAGCGCCAATGTATCCTTACTGCACAGAAGCATCGTCAGCGCACCAAGTAACAATGCCACCAGCACCAGATGATGGCAATCTCAAACCAGCTTCGATACCAAATTGCAAGGAATATGAGGGAGAGTGATAAAAATCACGCAGAAGTCCAGCTAGTCATTTAACAAGCAGAGAGCTCAAATCCACCAAGATTCCATCCAAATAAGAGTGATACGATGAACTCGTGAGCCCATGTCCAAGCCCTCAGGCCGCACCAATGCAATATTGAGTTTCGCTCCTACTGTCTGGAGCCCAGCACCCAGCCTACTCTACTTATCCTACCTAGCCTACCTACATTCGTGCAACAGGCTCACTTCGACAACGAAGACCAATGTACATGGCATCAACACCACTGCCGACCTCCCATATACACCAGGTACGTTCTCTCGACTCCCCTCATCACCCCTTGTCCACCCACACCTGCGCCTCCTTCCTGAAGACCACCGTCGCCTCCACCTGCCTGCACCCCTGCAGCCCGGCTATGGCCGCTTGGCGCCCCGCTGCCCTGCAGGGCCCCACACCTCTCAGCGCCCGCTCGCGCCCCAGCCAGCATTAGCGCATGCAGACACTTGTGCTCAATCGCATCAGTGTGTCCGCATTGCCTGCCTAGGCCAGAATCCCCTTCACTGGCTGGCCTGCTCCCTACATGGGAGTCGCTGTTGCTGCTCGACTGTCTGGGCCTGGCCGTGGAAGTTTCCAGTAGCTTCTGGTCGGTCCCAGTGTCTGCGCCCACGCCCATGTCTACAGTTGAGGGCCTGGGCCCTTTTTAGTTGGGCACACCCAGGATTATCCAGGCTTGGAATGTTTGTTGTGTTTCCATTGGCTCGCGGGGTAGATGTGATGGCAGTGCTGCATTCTCATTGGCCCTTGGCCACTTCGTGATGTGTCGCCCTTACACTGCGTGTGCCCAGGGCGCAACCACCTGCGTCCTGGACTCAACTGCCTGACGCAACTGCTTCTTCTGGAAGAGCCCAGGGTAAGGCCCAGGTTGCACTTCAACCAACTCACGTGCCGCAACAATCTGATACCCACATTGGAAAATGCTGAGATAAGGGCCTCTCGTGGATATTCAGGCCCGCCTTCACTTAGCACAGGCATGAGGCTTGCTGGGGGCCACAGTCCAGAACATATGCATGTTGTCTAGGGCCCCATGAGGACACATTCCTCACATATGGAGCTTTCTGACAAAAAAACTTACGCTCGCAATAATCTTACACTTCACTACATCTATGCATAGACCATTTGAATGAAGTTCGATTATCTGTGTGCTTCATTTATGGACTAGAGCTAGCTAGGCCTGGGTGGCCCGTAACTGTACTGGATCGGTGAATGAATCTGCCTGGGCCTATGCAAGATATTCGTAGTTCGAGTTTATGAGAACTATGATACAGCCGAGAAGGGCCTGGCCATTGCATGAGTTGCATTCACAGAAGGATATCCTCCACCACACTATTGCATGTTCATTGAACAGAAAACGCCTGATTGACTCCAGAATGCTCAAAACATGGCATGTTCTGTCATTGGAATGTTATTTGTGTTTATGGAAACCGAGCCCCCTCTGGAGTTTCCCTCCCTTCTCCACCACTGTCTTAGGGTTACGGGCTTACCTCCCCAAAAAGTAAGATCATGCTCACGGACATGAGAATTGCAGCATAAGGAGTCATCAATGCATTCAAAAAGATTGGGAGTGCCTGCATACAGTAATCCAAACGACGGCATAACTATCAGCCAAAGTGAAATTTGAAACAGCAATCAAGCAAAACTGACATTGAAAAAACTTCCTCAAAAAGTATATGTTCATCAGGTATGGGGACTAGTCTGTAGAGATCCCACACCCTTTGAACACCTCTTAATGTGCATTCCTGATGCATTCCTTATGGGCAGAGCAGATGCAGAAATCAAATTTGTCAACTGGTTAAATAGTAGGCTGGTGGATAACTGGCCCACAACCCCCTCCCCTCAGGCATGTCAAAGTTAAGCAAACATGACGAGATTAGATTCCTACGAGGATACACAGAAAGGGGGCACGAGAGAAAGAGGAGAAAAAATCCTGAGCATTAGGGTCAGGGAGGTCCACCACTTGACATGGCCCCCAGTGAACTGAAAGCCCCAACAAAGAAGATGGAGACACGGAAAAGCCAGCGCACCTGCCCGGATTTTAAATGCATCAACAAGGGTACCTGTTGTGGCTTCACCCACAAGAAAAGAAAAGAAAAACCATACTGAACTGTCCTATCATCAACTGAAACCCGTTTGCAAAGAGGAGGCGCAGAGGAGGGGCGGAGGAGGGGCCGAAGAAGGGCGGAGGAGGGGCCAGGAGGGGCGGAGGAGGAGCGGAGGACGGGCGGAGGAGTGGAGGAGGGGCGGAGGCGAGGAGGATGAGCAGAGGACGGGTGGAGGCAGAGCGGAGAAGCTGCGGAGCAGGGGCGGAGAAGCTGCGGACGAGGAAGGACAAAGGCACGGAGAATGAGCGGAGGAGGAGGGGCGGAGGCATGGAGAATGAGCAGACGAGTGGGGGGGAGGAGGGGCAGAGGAGGAGCAGAGGAAGAGCTGCAGCGGTGGGCCGGAGGAGGAGCGGAGGAGCAGCGGAAGAGCGGCGGAGGGTTAGTGGAGAAGGATGGGCAGAGGAGTGGAGGTGATGTAACGAGCGCGAGGCTGAGGGTGAGCCGAGGGAGAGGAGAGAGAGGGAGAGAGTGAGAGCACACACACACACTCACTCACTCGACACGACGGACTCGGACTGAGGATC